TCTGATTCATAGTTGGTCGTTGAGCCAGAACTCGTTGTCGCAAAGGCGAAGGGAAGTGAAGTTTCAGGTTTCTACAAGGCAAATTGACAAATAAGCAAATGCGAATTTCAGCACGTCTGCATTCTATTATTATACCTCGTTTGCCATCGTCACTTTCTCACTCCTGTGCTTATGGTATGGTCAGATGATTTTAGCATTTTAATGCTATTGATTAAAAATTGTCGTGTTACATTACTTGCATGGTGTGACATGCATGTTAATTGTCACACGTGCTGTATTGCGGTCAGTCAATGTTTGCGAGTAGAAACTTAAGAACATATAGTAGTGTGATATTATGCTGCCATTTGTCAACAATTAGAAGGTAAACTTTAGTCAATTGAATTGCGTAACTTAGTCGACAAAAATTACTGTAGCCTCAACAGGTAAGTGTAAGTCAATGGTTTATATACAGTATACATGTAAAATACTCTATAAAAAATATCCATATACAAGTAATAAAATCTATTATTCAAAGGCAGAGCAAATGTTCAGTAAATGCTAAGTTCTATTATTTCGTAAGCAACACCGCAATTATCAAACCTGTCTGCGGACACTATATTACAATGTTGCTAAACTACGACAGTATAGAATCAACGGTTAAATGGGACGTAATTCTCCGCCCAACAATCTACTATGGGCGATTCCGAATTTTGGGTATAAGAAAATATTATAATACGATATTCCTTCTTTAATCAAAAAATCTTGACGCTTAGGGGTGATGCAAATAGTTATGAAAGAGCTTAGACGATAGCAGTACAGCATCTATCACCAATACTTGTTCTCAATTCCTAGTCCTTTATATCCGAGTTGAAAAATAAAAATATTTATTTCGTTTGTAATTAATATTCCCAGTAAAGACCAATCATTACTGAGAAACCAAAACGTATTCTCCCAATCGCGGGATACTGGAACCTTTTTTATACTTGTCACTAATCTTAGGTGATTTTTTACTCAGAATTGTTATTTAACTCTTTCGTATAGTTTAATTATATTTCCCGACCGATAAGCTTTTAGTCTAGTCCTGCTAAAAAAAATCGACGCAATACCCGAGGTTAAATAATATTATATGATAAACTTATACAAATTTTATTTCCGCAACGATAGAAGACTATCGCTAATGTATTCAGTACCCAGAACAAGTTTTATTATACTATACTATCCGTAAAGTCACGCAAGTATGTGAAAATGGATTATGTCAGCTAGGGTGCTCTTCGGGCATAATCAACGGCTAATAGTTAACCACTGCTTTTGAAAATATTTTAAGCCCAGCCCAGTATTTACCATACGGAGCTAGAAGTATTCCGACGAAAAAATTTCATGTTTTTTCCACAGCCGCGGATAATCAACCCAGCGTAGATATTCGTGTCTTTCAAGATGTGTAACGCTTGCTTTGGTTTAATTGATTATCTTTACTGTTCCATGTTTATTTCGAATGGACATAAATTCCAAACTGATATACAACATTAGTTTTTGTTGTTATGTAAACGATGTCATAGAACTTATTAGTATTAGCTAACCAGAATACATGTAATAGGTGCGCGATAACATAAATGATGTTATGCGAGCAGCAAGTTGGAAAGACGTGTATTTGCTTTTAATCCTGGGAATTGCAAAAGAATCAAATGTTCTTCTCACATTCAAAATGGCCCGTTGATTTTGACGACAGGTGGTATGTGAAATTATTACTGAAAACTCGCTTGTTAAAGGCTAATGACAAGATTGAAACGATGATCAATGGAACAACCGGTTGTATAAAACCCTCCTTCGAGATAACGTTGCAGTTATTTAGAACAGGAAAAAGAGCGATGCATTTAAAACTAGCTTGTACAGAATCTTTATTGGCAAGTATATTTTTTGTAAAAGTGTATAATCGAAATCAGTGTATTATTTGAATAGAATTCAATTACATCTTAATGGATTTACTATACTTAATATAATTATCAAACGAATATAATAACGAAACATGCAAACGCTAATATTTTTGCTTAATATTGCCAAGATAGCAATGATCGACTTTTATAATAAATACACGAGAAAGTGTACTTGTAATCTAAAACTTGCTTCAAAACATCACAACGACGTGTTCGTCAATATGTTTGCATAGTTTTTCTACATATTCTTCACACTCCTTTTGATAATTTATCCATTTTGTCTTAAAACACCATGCTTCCAGTTCACTGAGACGCTGCCCTCGCCGTTCAAAATTATCAAGGTCTTTAAGTAATGCTTCAATCTCAAAAATGCGCGTTCGCCAATAATTTTTCACCTGACCAACTCCCATCGTTGCACTTTTCAAAGCCTCATGTAAAGACTTGACTGTCGTTCCACTGTTTATCTGAGCTTCCAATTTACGAATTTCCTTTTTGATCTTCTCGATATGCGCAGACGCATCGATAAATGTCTTGACGCCGATGCTTCCGGTAACCACACTTACGCCCTCCACAAGTATCGATTCAGGTCCCAAAATACTAGACGCTAGAGAAACCATACCCAACCCTAACCCGACTAACTGTTTTGTAGCCGAATTGTTTTTACCTTGTTGTAAACACTTTAGTTCTTCCTTTTTATCGTCGAGGGTTTCCAAGTAATCTCTCACATTATTCGAATAAGCCTTCAACCTATCGCATATTTCTCCGAATCTTGTTTCAAGGTCGTTAGCGACGGTTTCGTTTTTTCTCACAAAAGTCAAAAGTGTTTCCACCGCATTTTTATATGCTACAATGTCTGTGCATGATAATCCAAGGAGTTCATCATGTGCAACCATCTTAAGACTGTCTTTGAACATAGTATTGCTCGCAAATAAAGAAGCCATGACGGTTTTGCAAAATAATTCCCTGCTGGTTTCGACTTCTTCGGCAATACACTCTATAAGATCCTGACGTTTTGCTAAGTCTAAACATGTCTTAAATTTGTTGGCAGCGGCTATTATATGCGCGATTATTAAATCAGCAGGTGTATAGGTGCTTTCTGAATCTATGAAATCCATCGTATATCGTGTGGGGTTGTAAAAATTTGTTCTTCGGAGATTGGAAGAATTTTGGTAAGAAATGAGCAAAAGCTAGAAAAAGAAGAAACAACAAATAATTTCGGGCACGTGATTCACGTTTTTGTGACACAACTATATTAGATCAAAAGAGAAACAACAAATAATTTCCGGTGCGTGATTCACGTTTATGTCACACAACCAAAGAGCTAGAAAAAGAAGAAACAACATTCACGTTTTTGTGACACAACTATATTCTGACCAACGAAAGACCAAAAGCTAGAAAAAGAAGAAACAACGGGTGTGTGATTCACGTTTTTGTAACACAACTATATTCTGACCAACGAAAACTTTGCAATACAGTCGACCCTCTCTAATATCCACCCTGTTAATATCTTCTCTCTATTAGCAACAGTAGTTACAGGACGAATTTCCCATATTTAAATTGATATCATACCCCGTTGATATCCCTATCAACGCATATCAGATTTTATTCTTAATTAAAGGTACCTCGCTGGTATCAACATCAATATAAATTAGTACTTTAAAATTTAATTTTGGTCTACTATGATTTATGTTGTATTGTGTACTAAAGTATATTACTAAAAGTGGACAAATTGGACATAAGAAATGACAGTTTACATATTTTCGTAATCACTTCATGTGCCATCGCATCATATAATAATACATGATTAAATATATTAATATTAATATGGAGAAAGAAAGAAAGAGGTTTTGTCATAAATAAAGTTTAAACACAGGTATCGTATATAATATTACAGATGACGTTTAAGCCCTATCACTCCCTATGATATCCAACCCAGTCGTGAAGGTTGATATTACGTATTAGAGAGAGTCGACTGCATTTCCCGGTATACTGTTACACAATAATTGTAAAACCCGTCAAAATTTACGGGCACGTGGTGTAAATCGTGATTATACTTTTTGTCTCTAACAAGCAGCAATTTATTGGCCATAGATTAAAGTCGGTTCTCTCAATGCCGTCGAGTGTGCCCAGGTATTACTAAATTTATGTACGAAAACAAACAGCATATTTTAGTCTTTGTACACATTGAGCGATAATTTCTATTACAGAATAGAACCACAACTTTATGTAATACAAACCACTGGTCTGCAGGTAAATATATATGACAGTCACATTAACATGGATTGTGTATTAAGTTTACACAATCGGATACGGAAACAATAATAATAATAATTGTCCTTCGCTAAATTTCCCGCAATAGTATCAAGATAGCTTGCATGGATTCAGAAAGCTCGTATACCACTGCCACTTCGGTAAGCTCGCTTATTACAACTACCGCCCAGGAATTTAAAAAATGTTCTGAACTAGCAAAAACTCAGAGTCTTATACAAAGTATCGTTGAAGAAGTCGAAAACAACGCAGCTTTATTTTGCAAGACAGTAACTCGTTCCTCGATTGTGAGTCAACGTATTGGAATCAAAAGTCATAAGGTGCTCGCAAATATTGAGCTACTGTGCAATGATGTTACGGAATACAAAGATGTGGTGAAAATACTTTTGAACTTCGTGAGAGATGACGAAAACGTTACTAACAGTCTCGAAAGAACATTTAGAAAAATCTATGACAACTTGAAGGGTTGTTCGAATCATATAAGGGACTCCCTGGAAACCCTTAACAAGAAACGGGAAGAGCTGAGACGCTTGCAACAACGTAAAAACAAGTCAGCTACAAAGCGGTTATTTGGGTTGGGATTTGGCATAATTTCTCTAGTATATAGCATTTTAGGCTCTGAAGTGGTATTTTCTGATGCAACTGTGGAGATAGAGAGTGTGAGTGCAGTTACGGGAATGTTCGGCATTATGACATTTGTTGGTGCGTCCGCGCGCATCGAGCAGCTTAAGAAGGAAATCCGCGAGTTGGAGACTCAAATAAACAGCGAAAGAACAGTCAAAGCATTACACGAGGCTTTGAAAAGTGCAACAATTGGAGTTGGTCAAGTAAAAGATTATTGGCAAAAGCGCGGTTCTGAGGTTGAAGAATTCTTTAGAGAGCTTGATAATTTTGGACAACGTGAACAACATCTCAACGAACTGGAAGCGTGGCGTTTGAAAGCAAAATGGGTAAATTATCAAGCGGAATGTGATAACTACGGAGAACAACTGTGGAAACAGATGGAAGAACACGGCAAAATTATAACGTTCTGAAGAAAGTATTTTTGGATACATTTTACAAAGTGTATATTAACTTATCCATAAACTGGTCATTGATCTTCTTTACTTACTTTTTATTTACTGGAAAAGTAAATCATGGGTTTGAACGCGAGTCATAATAAGAAAAAATAGAAATTACCAAAGTAGCCACAGCCTTTTGCTCCAATCATAAACGTAAAAAAACCTACAGATTAATAAATATTCAAAAATATTTGCAAATGCTTTATACAATTAATAAGTGTTCAGCCGCCAAACTTTGAGGTTTTATGTGAAAACGTTTATTTTACCGATAATAATTTCCCCGACAGTTATTTCTCCAACAAAATTTTCTCAACATTATTCAAAGTCATCCTTTTTCGGTAGTTGATTATCGATTCAATTATTAATAATAAAACTCCGAAAAAATTAACCCTCTTTATTGTGACGTTTACTAGTATACTGAATTCAATGAAGACGACTATTGACCAATTACTGTGTTCGATAACAAGTTTCACGCCCTGCTCAAACTACTTGGTCCAGTAATCGTAACGATACATTTGCAATTCTCAATGATGAGTTTTTCAGTAGCAAGAGGAATGATATTTGATATAATTGTCGAAACCGATTGATTGTACGATATACCCGAGTGAGCTAATTCGTTCAAGACAGTGTATAGCAAACTTAATTCAAATTCCAGATAAGAGGACATTACAAAGAACGATGATGATCCACATTTTGGTTGTAATCGAGAAATAACCACATATTTAAGAATAAATGGAGAGTTATAGTGTAGGCGTCATTTTGAATCACAACCATGTCGAGTGAGGATAAGAATTTGAACAACTTTGCATGGTAACAACACTAAAAACATTAACTGCGTCGGATAGAATTTTAATTAAAATTGGGTAGTTTTATAAAATGGCGATACAGTCAAACCCGGAAAACCGATACTGCTAAAAACCGGTAACTCGCAAAAGCGATACTTTTTCAATTTTTATGCAATTTATATACGGTAAATCGATATTACATATTAACATAAACCTCGCAACCGATATTTGTTTGGTGATAGTTGAGCCGATATTTATGTAGTACAAGTTACGGAATGTCTTATAATATCATTGGACGAAATTTGCATAAATTGACCAACAACCCCTCGTAAAACCGATATCTCGCAAAACCGATAACGAGGTTTGACTGTGCTATTTAAATAAGACATCTGCGGAAAATTTTATACCGTAAATACAGTACGTGCAAATGCATCCTACCATTTCTAATTCAGATCGATCGGATGTCTCCAGCAAAGGTTTCAAAATCGAACGTTTTATTTCGAGATATATTTATACCCATACTCAACTTTGGCCATGAAAATTCAAAAATTTATATATCGATCCCTTTCCAACCAAGTTCTAATCTTTTTTTTTATTTGTTTATTCCTAGATTGTCAGCATGCATTTAATTACACGTTGAACTAATTACTTAAAATTGCAAATAATTATGTGACATGACGATAACTGATGATATCATACACGTTTATTGCCAATATAGTAACAGTTGCTTCCTAATTTTGACTGGTATTCCAAAAAACATAGAGGGCGTAAAATCTAGCAAACAACACACCAGAAAAATTATGCAACTCGATTAGAAACATGTGAAAATACGGATTTTAAAGTTTATGTCATAATAAGTGGCTATATAATTTCGTATTATTTTATATTTTTTTAACGGTTTAGATAGATGTTTGTAAAATTTGCTGTAGTTTATACACTATATACAGGAAAATTTCGTTCTGAATTAGAAACGGCAAGATATTTTTGCATTTTACTGTAAATGCCACCTCAAGTAGCGTAAACCAACATTGTGCACCATTTTATTACAAGAAAGTGAAAAAAAAGTAACTTACACTTACAACTTTTACATTTTAAATAATAATGACTCGTTAGCGAAAAGCATACTGTGGAGATGAGTCTAAGACAAGTAGGAAAGATAGATTATTGGGGTAAAGCACCACGACCTCTTGACTGGAGTACGGGTAACAATACGTTGGATTCATTCATTATGGAATCGTGGAGTAATATAACGCATAAATATGATGCGCATATACAATGGATAGAGCATTCCACATTGATGAACGTACGAGAAATGACCTCATTACACCATGGATGCACACGCATAACGGATTGGTTAGATCCAGTGATAAATAAATTGATAAAAGTGACACTCAAGCAGATCAGTGATGCCCAGTCGCATAATTTTCATCAGGTAATGTAAAATAATGCAATATAGTATTAAGCATTGATTGTTTTATTGATTGTATTGTTTACTCATATTCAAATAGCTAACTTTGGAATACCCAAACATATTAACACCTGACAATATTTGGATAGTTGGAATTACTCAAGAACCGTCCACTTGGAGATATTATTTAGTTTTCTACTATGACACTCATACTGTATTGGACAAGATTATACAACTTTACAATTGGCATACTAAGTACATGCAGTACAGCGACTTTTACGAGATCAAAGAGATCGGATCTGGCGGTTACAGAACAGTTTATACTGCCAAATATGAAAAGTATTCAGAAGTAGGAGATATGCGAGAAACTGTCGTGCTCAAGCGGTATAAGAATTTTGATGAAATGCCCGAATTATTTATTGCTGAGGTAAGCAATAACTGATAGTATTGATTAAAGTGATATTGTTGTACTTATTATTATTGATAATAGTTCAGAAATCATGCCAAAAATTATTCATTTACATTCCCCGATATTTATGGAGTCACACAAACCCAGAGACAAAAGAATACATGACTGCTATGCAATATGCTAACAATGGTAGTCTTTTCTCTTCTTTGGATCAAAATATTAACAAATTGAAGTGGAAAGATAAATTAAAGCATTTGGCGTCGATTGCAGAATATCTGCGTCATATTCATTATGCGGGATTAGTGCATTGTGATCTTGGCGGAAACATTGTTATCCACCATAAGTGTATCATATACCCATACATATGCGATCTTGGTCTTTCACAATCAGTGAATCACGCGAGTCAGTTTCAACTATCCGAGGCGTTTTGCCTTTTATTGCACCGGAAGTCTTCCGTACCCGCAAATTTACTCAGAAATCGGATGTATATTCATTTGGTATCATTATGTATCTGATTGCTACTGGTGAACCACCCATTTAGAGATTGGTCATTTGACGAATGTTTGGCAATGCGTGTTTGTGAGGGACTGCGACCGTCGATGCCTGATTCTACGCCAGAGGAATACAAGAAACTTGCCGAGCGATGTTGTGACGCTGATCCTGATAAGCGTCCAAAGGATAGAGGGATACTTTGGAGGGATATTAGCTGTCTAAGAACAGAAATTGACAAAAATAAGTCTAATAACAAGACATGGAATACCCGTTTATCAGAGATTTATAAATTACTTATTTCTTACAACGTATTGCACTCTTGTTCTTTATACCTGAAACGCAATTAACTATTCCTAATTTAGGCAAATCTCCGAGGTAAGAGTTTACTAAGTATTTACTCTTCTTTTCGAAACGTGATAAGGGTTTTATATCATTATAATGTTATTAACTTTTCTGACATCAGATTATGGTCGATATACTTATTCGAAAAGTTTAAGTAATAGTAAATTGGAATCTATTTCATATAAGTCGAAAGCAATAAATATTATGCAAAGTAAAATAAGCTTGTCAAAAACGTTTATCTTCGTGATAGTCGCAAACACTATAATATTGCAAACATTTCTGCTACAAATGAACCATAATAATAATGCTCGTGTTTATCAACATTTAGAACGCAAAGTTTGTTCATAACTTTTCGCAGAACATTGATAACAAATTTTCTTCAGTTAAACATCGACAATACCTCCAAATTATACCATTGATATCGTACAATAAGCGTACTCCTGATCAGTAATAACGTAAAAATAATGAAGCGGTTCAATCAAAGAGTTGAATAAAAAATAAACCGATATAAAATCAACATTTCTTGCCGAGTGCCATAATTAGTCTGTTTCTTGCTGTTTAATATAATGATATACCAAGAAAATAAGCAGAGAAAACAAATATACGGTACATTGTCATATTTGCCGCGACTATGTGCAAATACGACTAAAATTACATGACTATTTACAATCATAATCATGTATTGTACTATTTGCATAAACATTAGATAGAATTAACGAGAAATGATTTTACGGAGAAACAAAGGCCATTGTTCAGCTAACGAGGGCAAAAATTATCAACCAATTTTACCCTTGCCAAAGGTTTCGGAAAGCACTATCAAATTGGGCTTTTGAACGTTTGTTTCAATTTGTTCGAATAAACTTTTCTACTACACAATCTTTCTAAGGCCACCGGTGATTAAAGAATTAACTCGGCACGTCGTACAGTTCATAATATTTCTCATTTATTATTACTGTATATGGACAAGTTATTACTTCATATTAATATTTAAAAGTTTATAAGAGTGTGACAGTTTTAATAGCTCTGTGGAACCTCGGACAGCACTTGTTCGCACGTCAGTTTCGGGAAAAAAATTCTACTGCCCAAAAGTGTCTAGAAATAGTTGATTTAAGTTATACAGAAAAGAACTAAAGAAAAAAAAATACACCATTTCCCTGCTCTTTGTCCCACTCTTTTCCCAAATTTAATTGACTTTGCTGGATCTCTTCCTGGTCTGCTCATTTATAATTATGTGTTATTTAATAATGCTACTCATATCTGAAATGTTGCTTTTGCTTTCATAGACGCGTCACCTAGCCTTATCGGCTCGGATGCAAAGTCAGGCAGCATTCCCACGGATTTGGGTCTCTAGAGAGCCGAATTACTTGCTAAAATAGAGGGACATGAACTTTGGGTATGAAACCGCTGATGCCGACACTAAGAACAATCTTATTTTCGTCAAAGTGTTGATCCTGAACGGTATGCTGGATGCACCGGTTAGTGAATTGATAAGGCTGTGGGTTGTTTGTTTGCTTTTTTTTACCCACAACAAACGTTTATTTTTGAAATTTAAGGGTGCTCTAGCGACTCGCACGAGATTCTCTGGTCGAAATTGGAAAGGATCATTGATATCTCGGCTCAGGATTCTCTCGCATAATATCAAGCAAATTTTTACTATAATGCGAATGTTAAAAAATTACATTTCGTGTAACCAGATCATTTACCATTACCATAAGTTCATCAATTCTTTTATTAGTTAGAATACACACAAATAGTAGTCTATACCAGAGATCCCGGCAATAAATAATAATTAAGATATCTATCAAGTTCGAGATATAGATGAACGTATATACAGAGAAGTAGACAGACATTGCTCTCCGTTCGCGTCGTTTAACGGGACATTACGATGTCCTGAGTGAAAAGAAAAGAAAAGAAATTGAGAAGTTTGAAATGTAAAAACTGTTACAATGTTGTTTGTGGAATGTTTCTTACCTGATTGTAGACTTGCGACAGGAATACAATACGACCCAATGAAATCATCAGTTCCAAGGTCTTCGTCGTATACACAAAATCTATAATTGTCGATCCAGTAATTTAGGCAAAAAGTCTCACTAATCTCTCGCGAATCATCAAAATCGTCGCTTACCGTAAAAATACAAGACTAAGCTCATCGTAATGTACTGTAAAATCGGCTGTTTCTTTCCAGATAGGATTAAACCCGTTATTGTTAACGGTTTTTGTTTTATATTTTACACTGTCTGCACCAGGAACTAACAACTCGACTTCAACAAAGGGATCGATTACTTCTCCTTTTGTTTGTCCTTTGGGTTTTGGTAACTGCTGGCCTGATATTATCTGATAGATCGAGACGTTACAGTGATTAAAAAACATAGGAAGGGAAACTAAAGCAAGTGTAATAGCGACTGCAACATGTCTCGCAAGATCTCACCTCTATTGTCAATTTCCATGTTGTCGCCGTTGTCAACGCGTTCGCGGTTAGGGATTCGTATTTTCGTAATCGTTCCGGCTTGAGGATATAACCACATCCGCCATTCACCATAAACATTGCTCGATTGATCTGCATACCAAGATCTAGCGGTGAAATTGTCGAAAGTAAGTTGTCATTATACAGTCATTCGGCTACCTCGATCATTCAAATAACTATTTGCTTACCGAACGTCTGCCAGTTGAGCGCAACTATTTGGTTTCCAGCGTTCCAATGATGATGTGGTTCATAGTTTGACGAATTTATTCGAAATCCGGCCGGATATATTCTACTAAGATGTCGTTCATTATGTCGAAGAAAGTTCTTTCTGTCTGATTTAATAAGTCGAGCAGACTCTCTTTCCGAAAAGGAAGACATGTGATAGAAGGGTTCGATGTCTATAAAAGCAAAGGAGAATTGGTGCTTCGTACTAATAGTGTTTGATGATGCTAATAAAAGACAACGTACGTTGATAATCAAATCCTTTGAACTTCACGGCTGAACAGTAGTTAACGAGGTCGGATAACGCCGGTGCTATGTGCTGTTTCTTTTTTTTCTTTAGCTTCCCCAGTTCCTTTAAGCGGTCCTGGCATTCTATTCAATAACATACATGTTCAAATATATTGGAAAACTCTATATATCCAAAGAGTTAAATAAAGTTTACCTTTAGACGAATTGACATCAGATCCGGACTCTGTTGCTGATTCAGATTCTGTCGCCGAGTCTTCATGTCCAGGTGGGATTTTCTTCCCCTGTGGTAAAACGCGCACATTATGAGTTTACTCTATCTACGAGTGGGCGCTACTGTGAACAATCATTACCTTTATTAATATCTTATTCATAAGTGCGGCAGGACTGGGAAGTTCTACCTCGTTGTCTGATATAAACCAATCAACGAGGTATTCGCCAAGCGTACTTCGCATAATTGATGCCATTTGTGTCTGCTGTTCAACACTACAATGCACTTCGAGAGAGAGTATTAACGGATAACTTGACGCCTTGAATGCATATGTACGAATGGCATTTATAACATTGGCAAATAGGATTTTCGATGTGCTAAGGTGAAACAATATGTCAGGACGAACAGATATTCAAAGATAGTGTCAAGGATTAATTCTGATTGCTCACAAAGAACGTCCGTGCGTTATTATTGGGCCTTCGGTGCCATCCCAGCAGTCGACTATATGCGCGAGAGAGGATTAATGCATTGTCTCATTATCAAATAAACAAACTCGATGCGTTAAATAGCATTAATTATCAGAATCATAGGTAAACTTACGTTCGACACATCGACAACCTTGTTGCAATGCCCGTACATAGCCTTCAACCGATGATATTCCCTTAAATTGATGACCAACTAGGTATCTATAGAATTATATAAGTATTTAGCAAGTCGTGGTATAAGTAGAGAAACAAATATCACAAACAACTTACGTGTTATGTGACGAGTTAATATAATAATGAGATAGTGGCTGATTCATGTCCTGGAAAATTTCACTATGCTCAGGTGCGAATATGGACTTGTCGCTTGACACGAGGAAACTGTTGGAACCTTCCAAAGTCATTGCCGCACGCTCTTTATCACTGAATTTGTGGTGTTCTTTTTCTGTCAATGCCATCTAAATTATGATTTTTTGTCGAGTTAATAAACCGACAAACGAACGTTTTGTAAAAAACCGAAAGCGTACCTTTTGGCGTTTGTCAAGAATTCTTTGAATTGCCCATATTAAGATGCCGATAATCATTCCTGATGCACGTGTCGCGTATTCATGCGTGAAATATGCAGGGGTTGCGCGCCTGTAACAACTACCATAAATGGGACTTTACGTAACTACTCACTATAAAAGTGGTAGGGAAAAAGTCTGAATTACTATAATTGTATAAATCGGCAGAATTTTGATTAAACTTTCCCAAAGATGTAAACCAAAGGAATTTAACTATCGCGAGGAACTTTCCGAGGGACTCTAACAACATGAGCCATTAAAATAATTCTATGTTATACGTAGGGTTTAATTGAGAAGATACGTTTATAATGACGACATCATCCGCACAAAATCATGTTTATATTTACTTTCAGGCTTCGCTTTGGTATCGTAGATTTTCAGTAAAAATCGTTCCCGCGTGTACCACAAATTGCATCGTGGTAAGGGCTCTTGTTTAGTATCGGAACATCCGGAAGGGAACAGACATTATGATACTAATCCCTAGAAATACGAATCATCAATTATCTTGTGGGCGAAGACTCGGATGACGGATACTCCAGCAAGTAGGTTATTCCTCACATAGAGTTATCGTATTGGTAGATCGTGAGAATGTGGATAAGCGTTGGATCGATGATTGCGCAAATTTACTTATTCAGAGTATTATTAGATGATCGGAGATGAGATACGGATCATAAGATATCCACAACCGCATTCAATTAGCGCATTCCGTCTGACTCTGAGAATAAATCTGGGAAGGGATTTAGTCGGAAGAAGATTCAACGAGGGAAGTAAGATGGTAAGCGCGAGAACAAAAATTTTGTATTCTATCAAAACGTTACCGTCAACCTGTAAAACTTGTTATTCAGGCTGACGGGAGAGGCACATGATATAGAGATGAAAGACGTATTAGTATTAGAATGAAACTACACGATACTTTACTCCACATGTAATGAACGTTATGAAGTATTATTGTCCTTTCCTGTATGTCAATTGAAACAGACTATGGGATAAGTTTCTCTGCATACAAAATTAATATCTTTTTCCTGTATATTATTACCCGTAGAGAAACGGTTATAGACGCGTAGATTCTTCTGAACGTTAAGAATCAACTATATCATAAAAACCGGTTTGCCAACTGGTTACAACAAAGTGTCCGTTTGTAACACCGTCCGTAGTAAGAGTTGTTGCTTTAACGTCTATACATTCAGCGTGGAACAAAAGTTACACGACTCACATCATGGATTAGTGAATATCGATATAGCATGTGATTAAATGTAACACAAGAAATGATCAAATACGCATCGTGGTAAAATATTAATGAACTACTACTTCTCGAGTATCGCAACACCTTTTTTAACCTGAAATATCCTTTGCCTGCTCTTTTTACCTTTAACTAAACACAGATACTCCGGAAAACAATCACTCGATTCTTTTGAATTTACTTCCGAAACTTTTAAGAAATTATCCATTGTTGGACTTGGGACAAAGAGCAGCTGAGGTGGACGAGCATCTCGGTGATGAATGCAGTAAGGGAAATTGAAAAGTCAGGCATAATGAGGAGCCTTCGCACTCTGGAAGCCAATCAGGAGGCAAAGCGACTGTCGAAACAAAGATCGAAATAGCAACCGTATCTGTGCATAAGGTTTCCGAGGCGACTACTAAGTTTACCACGTTGCATGTCATGTTGCCCATGAGAGTTATGAAAGTTGCAACATGTTTAATCGGTAAGTGGATTTGGTGATAATGGGAAGAAGTCGTGTAAAGTCGTACGGTATGTTGTTCAAGTATCAACGATTTCCTTTTCAATTCTACGCTTTGTCTTTTACCTTACCTTATGCTCTCTATTCATTTCAGCCCTAGGGAGTGGAGCCAATTGCAACATCCATGTCAGTGCATAGATCCAGAAAACCATTTAAAAATTAAAATAGGAGAAACCATAAAAAGATTAATTGTTCACTTTGGTCGAAGTCGAGTGCGCTGGAGCATGCATCAATTCCCTGGTTTTGGCAGAACAACTTGTTGGATACGCCTGCTTCGATTCGACTTAAATACCATATACAGTATATTATCGGTGTTGGTTTCAATGAGTCGGTATAGATCAGAAAGGGTGGACTTTCCTTTTCATCTGCGAAGATGAGACTGCCCGTGGCGCTGGGCGTGTGACGCTGTGGCGGCGCAACAATTCTTGCTCTCGATATTATGTATTCGGGAATAGATATTCAAAAGTACAATAAAGTTGACTAAGTCGGTGGCTACGACTGATTCCGCACGTACGATACGACTATTTTTTCCATGTCTCTAGCGATATTTTTTTTTTTTGATCAACATCAAGCCTATAATTACCGTTTATATACAGAACTTGTTGCTAATAGAATCTTCAGCAAATCGCGAGGTAGAGTAATTGGCCTAACTCGTCGAACACCCAATTTCTTAAATTTCCTTCGTTGCTGAATTTCTTCGTGAATGCTTGGCACCACTTCCCGGTGTAGACACTTTACAATTCTTGTTCGTTGCGTGCGAGAGAAACGATTATTAGAGCTAGCATGGACTAAATAAAAACAACAATTACTGTAAGTGTTATTACAGTATGCTAATAAAACCAAGACGCATAAAATTAATGCGAGGGGTAGATAGAGTTAATTCAGTGGCCACGAATATTGTTACGCCTGTATAATAACATAAATCAATAGTTATTGATTAGCTAAACTATAATGCGCATAGAAACGGTAAAGCGGCATATACAATATAATGTCAGTATGTCGGATTTCTGGTAGTCTTTTATCACAAATGTTTAGATATCTCGTTGTTGCTTGAATAAGAAAAAAGAATAACTGAATTTTAATGTTTCGGGGCTGATGGCACCTAACACTCAGTTAACACAGTAATGAAAAATTGCAGTAATATTTACCTTAATGAAAATCTTTATTCAGACTAAATGATGAGACAGTCTTTCAGCAATTCCATTTGATCTATTAAGAGTCTGTGCCGGTTCAACGGATAGATATTTTAATGGCTTCTCTCTGTACAAGCATACGGTATAATCATTGGATTGTAATATTGTTGTTGTTTTTCTAGAAACCAATTTTACATTTCTGGACGTTTTTATTGTTTAGCATTTTACTGAACGTTTGCTCTGCCTTCGGATAATAATACAGTAATAGATTTCATTACTTGTATATGTTATATGTTATAGAGTATTTTCTATGTACACAGTATAAAACATTTCGTAAATAGCACTTACTTGTTGAGGTTACAGTAATTTTTGCCGACTAAATTACGCAATTCAATTGACTAAAGTTTACCTTCTAACTTGTTGACAAATGACAGCAGAATATCGCACACTTTACTAGTTAATATTGACTGCGCCGACAACACGTGTGACAATTAACATGTCACACCGTGCAAGTTAATGTAACACAACAATCTTTAACCAATAAGATTAAATGTTCTAAAATCGCCGAAGATACCATACCATAAAGCACAGTGAGTGAGAAAGTGACTATGGCAAATGAGGTATAATAATAGGAATGCAGACGTGCTGAAATTCGCATTTGCTTATTTGTCAATTTGCTTTGTAGAAACCTGAAACTTCACTTCCCTTCGCCTTTGCGACAACGAGTTCTGGCTCAACGACCAACTATGAATCAGA